TGGGGCTGGAGCATGCCTCGAGGATGCCGAGGGGCTTTACGACGCTGGCAGGTGTCACAGCCTTCGACGTACTTGCGCACAAACGCGTCTCGCTGTGGCCACCAGTAGAGACGGCTGACCAGCTCGATAGTCCCGTTCCGTCCAGGATGTCCTGCAGTGATCGCGTCGTGGCACAAGAAGACGACTCGTTTGCGAAGGTCCTTACCAGGGGGGATGTAGAGCTTCCCGTGGTGATAGATGAGGTCATCGCGCACTTCCCACTCGAGGAGTCCGTTCGCCAGTTTCCGAGGGCCCTTCTCCTTGAGGATGCGGAGAGCCTCGACTACTTCAGGATCGAGTACCTGCGCGTCTCGAATCTCCTGCTCCAGGGTGCTTGTGTCCGTGAGTGTGGCCGACAGAGAGACGAACCGCTCGGGTCCCAGCACAATCTGATCTCGGTTGTCCTCCGCGTCCGTAGTCTGGTGGGTCGGGAGGCGAGAGAGGGGATCGACTTGGGTGTTCGTCTTACCAGGCTTATGCGTGAGACAGAAGTCGAAGCGGCTGAGGTATAGAGACCATCGAGCCTGTCGACGAGTGAGGTTCCGTGCGGTGCGCCAGTACTCCAGATTACGATGATCCGTGACGATCTCAAAGGGTTCGGGGAGCCCTTCAAGGTAGTGTCGCCAGTCCTCGAGAGCACGGATGATCGCGAGCATCTCTCGGTCGTAGATCTCGTAGTTCCGTTCCGCTTCAGCCATTGACTCAGACCGGTAGGCCACCGGGTGCCAGAGGTCGTCGTCCAGCTTCTGCAGCAGCACTCCTCGTCGCGAAGCCAGAAGCATCCACCTCGATTCGCGTGGGCCGAGCCGGATCCCAAGAGACCAGCACGGGCTCGCTCGTAAACGCGTCCTTGAGGGCTTGGAAGGCGAGTCGCTGCGCGGTTCCCCAAGTCCAGGGGACGTCCTTCTTGGTCAGATCGTTGAGCGGTCGCACGTGTTTGGAGAAGTCCTTGATAAACCGACGGTAGAAGTTGGCGAACCCTAGGAAGCCGCGTAAGTCGCGCAGGTTCTTGGGGGCTGGCCACTCGGTGACGGCCTTGACTTTGACCGGGTCCATGGCCACCTCGCCTTCGCGGATGATGAGGCCCAGGTACTCTACCTCCGTCTTCTCAAACTCGCACTTCTCCGGTCGCAGGTAGAGGTCATGTTCCTGGAGTCGTTTCAGCACCTCGTGGGTTACGGCGCGATGCTCTTCGAGGGTGGTGCTGAAGATGAGGATGTCATCGAGGTAGACAGCGACCTTTCCTGCGGCGATCAGATCGGCGAAGATTGAGTTCATCAAGGCTTGGAACGTAGCGGGGGAGTTGGTGAGTCCGAACAGCATGACCCGCGGTTCGAATAGACCTCGATCGTGGACGGTAAACGCGGCCTTCCACTCGTCTCCCTCCTTGATGCGGACGTTGTGGTAGCCCCAACGGACGTCAAACTTGGTGAAGTACTTGGCTTGGCGCAGGCGACTGATGATGTCCGACGCGAGGGGGAGAGGGTACCGGTTCTTCACCGTGATCTCGTTGAGCTTGCGGTAGTCCTGGACTAGACGAAGCTTGCCATCCTTCTTCTTCA